GAAGCATACACACTAAATATCAGCCAGTATTAAAAAATGCTTAATCAATAGCCTGCGTGTTAGAGACAGGTTTGTTCAAATATTGACTTAGAATTATCTGATATTTCAGTTTTAATCTTGGGTCTTCAAGTTCCCTCTCTCCTGAAATGTTTGAGTTGTATAAACATATTTTGTATCTCTGTGAGAAATATTTAAGTTGTATACACACATGGATTATTGTGTCCATTGATCTAACTGTTGGTCATAAGCTAAAGGTCCCAAAGTTGGTGTTAGGTCGAGGATCGTAAGGATTCAGATATAATGGTCACCGTTACACACAGGTCAATCGCAGTTCGTTGTAGTAAAAGGTTACAGATTTTGAAACAGTAATAATCTGTGTGTGGTAAATTCTCTGTTTTTCTGATAGCTATCCTAGACTTGCACAAGTCCATCTTGAACAAAAAATTATGTATATTAGGTTTGCTCATAAGGAGCTATCTCAGAGAAAAACAAATAGCTTTTGCATGAAGCCCATTTGGCTAATGTATAATCTCCTACTTAATTGTTATTATACAGTTTGGGAAGAGCTCATTGTAGGGCATGCCCAAAGGAAAGCATTTGTTGACATATCTGAAAAAATCTATAGGGTGAAGAATCCGCTTATTACCATGGGTCTATATATTTCTAGATTCATTTGGTAACTGTGCTGTCGGTAGTTTTTATGACCAATAGTTTCATACCTCCCTTGTCAGTAATCACAACAACAAAACGATATAATTCCACAAGAAATATGTCTAATTTGACAAAGTTTTAAAAATACACAAGTTTAAGTATTTACAGTAGGAGAAGAAAAAACATGTGATTATTGAAATAACAGTAAGTGATCAGAATGTAAAGGAATTCATTCCGTGTAAAAGATTCTTTTTGTCAATTAATTGAACTTGATTTACTTGAAGAAAAGAGTAATTAATCTTTAATTAATTTTTAATCAGTATGTATACAGGTAATTTACAGGTAATACTATCAATACCAACATATACATCATAACATGATTCAATGAAATTGTAAAGTTTGTATTGTGTTTTTGTATTTATAGGGAAGGAATCAATTATCTGATAGTTTGGAGTCTTTGTAGATTTTGATATCAGATAAAGTAAAGATATAACTGAGTTCAATTACATGTATCTCATATTAGTGACCATAAAAAGACTGATTTTATCTCAGCTCTGTGGTTACTTTATCCTTACCTGCAAGAAGCATTTTAAGTTTTGTCACATGTTTTAAGTGATATGTCGTAGATACTAGGCTATTTTTGTAATTTTCATTCTAAATTGTCTGATACACTGTACCTAGTAGTTTCAGTAGTTCACTTTATAAATAGGATCACTATATTTACAAATATAGGTGTATGTTAATGAACAGGAGATCCTAGTGGGATCATGGTACTCAACATTGTTAGGTCTTTATTTGTTTTCTTCTTTCAAAGTTAAATATTTTCTCTTCTTTCTTTTTTTCATGTTCTGAATTATATGATATTTGATGTAATAATTAAAATCATTTTATATTCTCAAATCAAAGATGTCTGTCTGTTGGCCAGTTTTCTTTTCGGATCAGTCAAAAAATCAAAAGGGCACAACTAGGGACTAAGGAGAACCTACATGCATATTTTGAGAAAGATCCATTCAGTATTTTCCATGAAATAGCATTAAAAATCAAATATTTCCTCATCAAAATTCAAGATAGCAACCTGTCAACTATTTTGGTCTTTTAATCAGTCCCAGAATTAAAAAGGCGCAACAAGGGACAAAGCAGAACTTGCTTGTGAAATTTGAGAAAGATTCATCCGAATTTCATGAAATAGTGGTAACAAAGTATTATGGTCAAAATCCAAGATGGATGCCTGTCAACCATTTTGTTTTGTACAACCAGGGACCAAGAGGATCCTACATATGTAATAAGAAAAGTATGAAGTACTGAAGGAAATTTGACTTGTCTAAAATCTATATATTTTAAAATCCTACACTATGAACTTATCTGTGCACAAGTATACTACTATTACCTGGTCTTTAATTAACAATTGACGAGTTTGATGTAAGGTCCGCAGGTATGTATGTTATTGTGTTCAGATCCCTTCAATCTTAACATGTGTGTAAAAAACTCCTGACAAACTTGGCCAAAGTAGAAAATCTCTGTAAAATGTTAAATCAAGCAAACTTCATATTGTGATTTACTTGAACAGGTGTACTGTCAGTTTAATTAGTCAGGTAGGTGTGATAAAATCTGCCTAAATTGGGGTTAAATTACCTTTTTTCCAGTCAGAAGACGAATCTAGTATTTTTGTAGACAATTTATTTGAGCTTGGCTGTGTTAACATGAACATCAGTATTTTCCCAGGGTATAATTTTTCAGAAAATAGATAATTTTAGTAATGAATTTGTGTACCTGTTTACTTTGGAGGTGTATATGTATATTTTTCCAGTTTAAGATAAAAATGAACTACATATATATCTGGTGATGATAAAATTCAATGATTCAAATCACAGACACTTAAAAGGGTCTATGGAGTTGGGTGTAACACATTCTTTGGATGTTTCAGTTTAAAGTTATGGATAGATATAGACATAAAGTTATCTGTTTACAATTGAATGGTATATCTACTGATCCATGGGTAAATAAGCCAGCTGCCGCAGGTGGTTATAAAGTCTATAAAATTATCAGTTAAAAAATTTGAAGAAGAAATATGAAATTATCTTTTGTCTTAATCGAATATTATTTGGTAATTTGGTATAGGAACAATTGGTTGACATTCTCTTCAGTATTTTTAGCTTGCATGATAATCAGCATTGTATGGATGGACTCAATATCATAAACAGCATTGTATGGGTGGACTCAATATCATAAACAGTAATGTATGGGTGGACTCAATATTATAAACAGCAATGTATGGGTGGACTCAGTATTATAAACAGCAATGTATGTGTGGACTCAATATTCTAAACAGCAGTGTATGGGTGGACTCAGTATTATAAACAACATTGTATGGGTGGACTCAATATTATAAACAGCAATGTATGGGTGGACTCAATATTATAAACAGCAGTGTATGGGTGGGCTCAATATTATAAACAGCAGTGAATGGGTGGGCTCAATATTATAAACAGTGGTGTATGGGTACACTCAATATTATTCCCTGATATTCTCCTATTGTAAAATAATCCCTGATATTCTCCTATTGTAAAATAATCCCAAATATTGTTCTATTGTAAAATAACCCCAGATATGGTATTGGATCTTCAATGTCACTTTGATGTGATTCTTATCCAAGAATGGAAGAGATAAATGAAATAGAATGCTTAAGGTGATATTTTTAAAGATTCAAAATTATTCATATGCATTCATTAATGCCATTTAAATTTTTTCAAAAAAATCTTATTCTAAATGTTAAATAAAACTCTAAGATGAATATAGATTTCATACTTTAATCAAATAACCTGATTGATCAAATCTTTTAAAAGTTAATAGAAAAATGGTCTTTTGTCACCCTGGTAGCTATTGTTGAAATATTCCTATTTCAGTTCATTATGAATTAATTAGTAATAATTACCGTTGACAAGCTTTACCAACAATAGCTAATTTATATCTCAGAATGTCAGCTGTATAGGTATCGAGATACTAGATCTAGAGTGTCAAACGCATTCTGTAATACTTTGAAGTGTTTTTGACACTAGTATCAAGATCAGAGTACTACTAAATCAGCCAAGTCCTACCTGTTCCCACCTGTATGAAGGCTGGTGTCTCAGGTAGCTTAACGAACTTACGATGACGAAGATATTATTGGCATGTTATGTCCACATCAGTACTCTGAATAGGAACGTATAAAATAAACTTACAGAAATATCAGGGTTTTTTTCAGTTTGTTTATAAGTCTGGTTATGAGAGTGTTAATACATTGGGTGTGTAGTTATGGAGTCTGAAGGAAATCTCCACCTGCTTACAGTTTAAGGAAATTTTTATTCTGAAAGATATGGTGATTATAAGAGCTGAATGAATGAGAATTTAATTCCGTAAATGTAAAAAATGATGTTGAAGATCGAGAGATTGAAGGAAAATGAAATGTGATTTTTCCTGAATTATCCAAACTGCCGTTACTTAATCAGTTGTTTTGCTGTTTTGTATGTGATACCGAAACAAGTTCTAAACCAGTGCAGATAGATATTATCCTGCAATGATTTCCACCTTACTCTGAGTCAGAAGTTTAATATATAATTATAGTCTTGTTTTATAAAAAAACTGAAATGTTTATCATATTGTAAAATCAAAAATCAATCTTCAAATGTGGAATGGACTAGACCTAAAACCCATAATGTTTTGACAAATAGAAAACGTCAATATTATTCAAACTTTAATGTAGAGAAAGAATAGGACCCTCTATAAACGAGTCACTATCGGACCAGTTGGTTCACAATCTATTCTCTGCATCATGAATAATACAGAGATACTCTTTGTGTATTACTGGGTATTTGGTTTTTATGTTGGTCGGGTTTCATCGATTTGTCGAACGGTTTGCATATAAAATCGTTCCCTAGTCTCCACCTCACAGACATGATATACAAATGAATTATGTAAAAAACAATCAGTAGAAACCTATGAATTAATGGAACGTTACTAATACTGATCTATATAAGATCAGATACATGGTAAATAAAGGGTTTTTTTAGCATAATTATCTGAATAATACTACCTCCAGAGAAATTCAAAGCTTACATCACATAAAACATATTTGCAAAGAATGGATGTTTAAGTGTTTAAGGGTCCATCAAAGCAGATATTAACATAGATTGACCCTTCTTTGACGTCACTCTTTCCAGAGGTGGGTAATCCGGTTTTTTTTAATGTAACACACTGTTTTATCCGGTTTTGGAGTTTACATTGCCTCTTGGCGTTTTGGAGTTCGTTTGCTAATCACAAGACGAAGCCTAGAGATAGAGATATTTAACGGTGGATTGTCTTGTATTTTCCAGAGAGACCTTGAGCAGGCGGACAAGATGAGGACAAACGGAGAACAACATATGATGGACGACCATTATGCTGTGGACTCCATACGTCCGAAGTGTATTGAATTACAACGCATGTGTGATCAGTACAGGGAGTTGCTACGGCGACGACGTGAACTCCTCGACACATCACATGACCTTCAAGACAGAATTGACAAGGTCATACAATATGTTATTTGCATTTTTGACAAATACAAAAAAAAAAAAAGAATATCAGTTTTCATTCAAATTAAACCTGTTGAACATAACTGTAAACAGATTATTTGTAACCTTTGACCTTTAACCTTGACAGGCCAATAAATGGTGCACAAAGGGTGTGGACATGTTGTCGAAGCAACAGGTGGATGCTTGTCAAACCCCTCAGGGAGCCGAAGTTGCTCTCAGGGACATTGAGAGCTTTGTGGCAACTGCTGGACAGCTGCGTCTCAACAACCCAAAAGAGTTCCGTCAATTGTTTGAAAACATGATTACGCCAGAAACTAGAGTGAGTTTAATTTCCTCTCTATGAGTTTTATAATTGCTTTTGATCATTAGAGCTTGAAATATTTTCATTTTTCAGCAATGTCTAAAGTTTTTTTTAACTTAATTGATGATGATTTAAAAACAAACAAAAAATTGAAATGAAAAAAAGTTGAAATTATGAATGGTGAAGCTTTGAGGATTTATTTTGTGAATTTTTTTTTATTTTCTTGCTAAAGTCTTAATATTATAATAACTGCAGGCCAATGTCCAGAAGGTACTGAAGAGGATTGAGGATGTCCAGGCTATGTGTGAGAAACGACACCATAGCCTCCAACAGGTCGCCAAACCATCCACCCGCCCCAGTACCTCACATCGTGTACCGCCCACCCATGGCCATCTGCCACACCCCCCTCATCCTGACGTTGATCCCAAACGCAAAACAAACACAGAAAACCAGCAGCGTCAACAGGGCATCTACGAACGGTCTGCTCGGGTGAGTGATGGAAATGTTATGTGTTGGGTGAATCAGTCAGGAAAGGATGTCTACTGAAAACATAGAAATCAAATTTCTAATTTGGATGAAGATCATGATATTTTATTATTACCATTGCTAATGTTGTGCCATTAGAAATGAAATTACTTAATGAAATATTTACTTTTAAAATATCAGGGACTCAAAAGTCCGACAGAGTTGGCTTACACTTTCAGATTTGTTGGTAGATTCTGCTGGAAAACTATATGAATTTACTTAGGATAAATGCTGTATTTTTCCTATGATAAACCATGAATTTATCACATGGCTTTCCACTCAATGTGAGGGGTTGGACTTCATTCAGAACAAGAATTTTAATTTCTTTGAACAGTAATATACATTAATGGATTTATGTAGATTTATAGCTCAATAAATGCAATTTCTCTTTTTCAACATTCCTGATATTAATTCAATTTTTTTATCACTTGGAATGAAACAGAAAATCTAAAACTCAAAATACATGTATATATATATATTGTTTTAACATTATAAGTATATATAGAGTAGACAAGCTGTTTTAATGGAACAATATTGTACAGATGTAAATTTTTTGTTTAGAGGTAACAGTTATTTTCATAACGTATTGTAGTTACGAACCGACGGCAGTGCATCCTCCCGTCCTTACATTACCCCTCCGTGTTCAAACCTGGGCAGTCTCCCAGACAGTATAAATATGGGCGAGAAGACTCGTGCCTCTGTGACCTCCATGTCAACTACAACCTCATCGGGGTCATCAGGGTCAGCAAGGTCGGCCAGTATGATGGATACTGACACACTGATGGCCAAGAGGAGGTAAGTGGATAGTAATTATTATCCTTCTGTATCGGGAAGAGCTTGTACATTTATCTCTAATGTCATATTTGATATAAATATCAACTTACAACAATGGTGAAATTTGAAATTTCTGCAAATGGCGTTCACTTTTACAAAAGTCAGTTAAATCCTGTGCCTCGTCAAATAAAGAAATATTTACTAGTCACTATAATCAAAGCCCTTTTTAGGTGAATTTTTTCATTTACATCTTTATTGGTTTATTCAACAAAGATCTTTATTAAAGTCCATAATTGTGAATGTTTTCTTTTTTCTTTTTTATCACTACTTACAAAGACTTGCACATATCAAGGCTTTTGTATAAACTCAACAGAGTTATGTCCCCTTATTATCAATTATGTTTTTGTTTAAATATTCATTACATCTCAATGTTGATAAATATCTTTCTGCCAATTTTTTGCGGAAAAAACCAATTTGGGAAAATTATCAGCCATTCCAGTGTTTGAGAGATCTGTAATTGTATATATCATTTATAGCATGTTTTTTACATTTCAGGCACGTATTGAATGAGTTGATTGAAACAGAGAAGACATATGTAGCACAACTATATGATATTATAAAGGTATGGTTGTTTTGATTCAAAAGGTGCTTTTATATCATGTCATATTTGTATCTCAACCGATTTTTTTAACGAGGGAATATGAAAAAGAAGTTTCATAGTTTAGAAATTACCTTGAAAGTTGACTGAATAAGGTGTGGGCTTATTGCAGAACACTTAAGTAACATTAGTTTATAATTCCACTGAACAGCTGTAAATATGTGTGGGCTTATTACCAGACATGGACTTATTGCTAGATAAATTCCTGAAAATATTCAGAGTGGAAACTCCAGCTTTCAATCAGATTGGTTGTTTATCCAACAGTAAAATATTGAGTAAAATGAAATATATGAAGATTCTTATATGTTATATGTGAAAAAATGCATCTAAACAGAGTTACCAAATTTAAAGTGCTGAGATGTATATCTGTTTATTTACAGGGGTACTTGTTGGAGTTAGATAATAGATCTATGCAGCACCTCATTCCAGATGGACTCTCGGGCAAGAAGGAAATACTCTTTGGCAATCTAGAACAAATATATTCATTTCATAAAAAGTGAGACATATATCTACTCATTCAGATTTGTGTCAAATCCCTGCTTCTTCCCTCATTCTAAAGTACATTATATGTTATCATTATCCTTTTTTTGGTTACAGAAATGAATGTCTTCCTCTTCTCTACCGTAGAAAGTAATTCACAAATATATAAGAGTATAATAGATAAAATTATGTCTAAAGAGATGAAAGTAATCAGAAATATTTACAATGACAATGTGTAAAGTGCAGTCTTGATGAAATACTCACAATGACAATGTGTAAAGTGCAGTCTTAATGAAATACTTACAACGACAATGTGTAAAGTGCAGTCTTAATGAAATATTTACAATGACAATGTGTAAAGTGCAGTCTTAATGAAATACTTACAATGACAATGTGTAAAGTGCAGTCTTAATGAAATACTCACAATGACAATGTGTAAAGTGCAGTCTTAATGAAATACTTACAATGACAATGTGTAAAGTGCAGTCTTAATGAAATACTTACAACGACAATGTGTAAAGTGCAGTCTTAATGAAATACTCACAATGACAATGTGTAAAGTGCAGTCTTAATGAAATACTTACAATGACAATGTGTAAAGTGCAGTCTTAATGAAATACTTACAATGACAATGTGTAAAGTGCAGGCTTAATGAAATACTCACAATGACAATGTGTAAAGTGCAGTCTTAATGAAATACTCACAATGACAATGTGTAAAGTGCAGTCTTAATGAAATACTCACAATGACAATGTGTAAAGTGCAGTCTTAATGAAATACTTACAATGACAATGTGTAAAGTGCAGGCTTAATTGTTTTATTTAAAAGCCATCTGTTTCAATTTTTCAAGCCTTTGTCTCTTTGTCGTTACTCAGCAATGTTTTTATCATTGTTTACCATGGACTGAAATTTACGGGAATTTTTGCTATCAATTTCAGTATATTTCTACAAGAACTACAGAACTGTAGAGACCAACCTGCTAAAGTAGGAAAATGTTTTGCAAATAGGGTAAGTATTTTCTTCTTAGTCTGGATTGAAAAGTCTAATGTAATAATTAAATTTTACGTGCCTGGGTGTTTTAATTATACATACAACTACAGTCTCTCTTTGGAAGTTTAGAAATATAGACTTTGTGAAAATATATTGATTTGATTTCAGCTTGTTTGTTGATTTATTAATTAATTAATGAAATGTGTTGATTTATTTATTAATTAATTAATGAAATGTGTTGATTTATTTATTAATTAATTAATGAAATTTGTTGATTTATTTATTCAAACAGAATGAAGAGTTTCATTTATACAGTGTTTACTGCCAAAACAAGCTGAGGTCAGAAGCTCTACGGAATCAAGTTGGGGATCAAAATCCATTCTTTCTGGTAAGTTTTTTTTAATTAATTAGAGCTCTTGGGTCTAATTGTTGTCAGTCCCAGTCTGACCTCATCAATATTCAGTACTATACATCTGTATTACAAGGATCATCCTATTTTTTTTTTATATTTGACGAGTGACCGCAAAACAATTATACCAATACTAGGTTTTGATGACATAATAACGATAGCCATAAGCCAACATCAGGCTTGGAGGGAGCAGGAATGGAGCGTGTGTTGAGAAAACACTACACAGAACATAGGTGAAGATTTCTTAAAAAGTGGAATTGGTAGTCACAGAAAAATAACATTAAGATATATGCATAATTCCAATGTAGCGTTTTTTGTTCCAGTCACTAAAAATATTCCTTTTAAGGAAAATGTTGAATAATATATGTTGTTATATTCTAGGGTCTGATACACAGTACTATGTTGGTAAGATTTTTTATCACTCTACCCAGTAATCACTCATGTTTTAGTACAAACGATTTATTTTGTTGTTAGGAATGTCAGAGGAAGTTGGGACACAAACTGCCATTAGGGGCATACCTCCTTAAGCCTGTACAACGGATCACAAAATACCAGCTCTTACTCAAGGTAGGTCAAGTCACTGCCCCAAAAGGTTCATTATCTCAAGTCATTCTGACAGTTTGTGTCAAGTTCAAAAACAACAAACATTTATGTTTTTTTAATGTTTTGTTTTGCTTAGTTTCAGTATTCTTGATTTTGACATGATTACTCATTCGAAAATATTTTTTCTGCAAACCAGCATTGAAAATTGTAAACATTGAGTTATTTTATAAACTATTTTTTTCAGGAAATGCTTCGGTTTTCTGAACAGGACCCAGCTTGTGAAGCCCATATACAGGAAGCACTGGACTCCATGTTGGACGTTGTACGATTTGTAAACGACAGCATGCATCAAGTGTCCATCGTTGGTTTTCCTGTAAGGTTTTATGATACATATGATATTATACCTATATATCATACCTGTAACTTCCACTTCATCCTGTCTCCACAGATCATACCATATTATGGAAATTGTTAGTAATTTCAATTATGACATTCTCTCTCTTGAGAAAAAATTTTATGGACATAATTAAATCACCTTTGGACAGCTTGACAGAAAAAGTGGAAAATAAAAACTTTTTTATTATATTTCTTAGAAAAATAAGAATGAAATCCTATCTTATTTTGTCTTTCGTTCAATTTTCAGGGAAATTTAGCTGATCAAGGGAAGTTACTCATGCAGGGAGGATTTAATGTGTTAACAGAACATCAAAGAGGACGAATCAAAGATCTCCGTTTTAAACCAATGCAGAGACATATGTTTTTATATGAGAAATCAATATTATTGTGTAAAAGAAAAGAAGAAGTTGGTTTATCATCAGAAAAAGGAGTTTATAGTTTTAAGAATCTTCTCAAAGTAAGTAATAAAAATTCATTTAAGATCTAATTTTTTTTTGCAACAAACAATATATGAAATTAATTACCATGGGGATCAAAAGACTGAAGATTATTTAATATATTATAAAATTGTCTTTTATAGTTATTCATTAGTTTAAAAATGTTCATCAACTACAAGGGAAAATGTTCCGAGTTTTCAGAATTTATAAAACACATACAACCCCAATTTCTATAATTTCAGCTTATGTGATGTTGAAATTTACGAATCAACAAATGATATTTAGACCTTAGCGCTTTTTTCACTGGTTCAGGATTTGGCAATGATTTTTGAAGAAAAAATTGTTGAATTTTGAAAAGTAAATTTCAAATTTTGACTTAAATATGAAATAATTTCAGTTGGGAATGTGGCCCATTTTTTGCCCCAAAAGCATAAAAAATTCTGGAACTATAATATCATTAAATAGTAGCATCATTTTGTCCAGTGACATCTTCGAAAAGTTTCTGAAATCTAATGATAAGATAAATACATAGCCAAGAAATTGAAGCTAAGATGCATTTTATCTACAAGAACATTAACTTCATGCATGATGACTTTATGGCTGTCCCAGACTTTGTGGTACTTCAAGGCATGATTTGAGGAATAGAATAGCTGCTTCAATAATTCATTTGAATAATATGTTTATAATTGTTTGTAGCTCTCACAAGTAGGTCTCACAGAAAACATCAAGGGAGATAAGAAGAAATTTGAGTTATGGTTGAGAGGACGTGAGGAAGTTTATATCATTCAGGTTAGTTTAGCAACAATTTGATTTTCAGGTATTTTCTATGTTCTTTCTTTTATCTTAAGTGAAAGAATAATCACATTTAAGGCAAACGTCAAAGTTAAATTAATTAATTTTATCAAGACATTTTTTTAACAAGTCATATGTTGATTTCGTTAATAGTGTAATAAAGACATAAACATGGCTGTCATCTCAAGTGCATGTGGACCACTGTATAAGATAAATTTTTTCACAACTATCTATGTCACTTATGTACTAGTTGATGAAACTCTGCAGGCTAAATTCCTACCCTTGTCCAATGTAATATAGTACATAGTGCCATTTTGATGGTGAAAGTTTGATAATTTGTGAAATATCAAATTTCCAAGCAAAAGACAACAGAAATAATAACTGTCAGATCTGACGTGTCATTAAGAAGAAACTCTACTTAATATACAGAAGTTCTCCGAATTTGGAAAATGGTAAATACAAAGGCCAAAACATTTCATGATGGACACCTGCATAAAATCTACACTAAATTATAGAGATATTGACAATGATATAATCCAGTGTGTTACCAGTAATGGTGTATTTCAGACATCTGTTGGCTTTGTTTTCAGGCACCCACCTTGCCTTGTAAAGACATGTGGGTTAAGGAAATCAAACGGGTTCTTATGAGCCAGTTTGATCAGCTGAAAAGTAAGTTCGATGGTAAATATCTCTACAAGACTAAGCATGGCATAGAATGAGTGAAATCACCCGATTAGCGGCACAAAGTTTGGGTTTCATAATCATTTCTAAAATTTGCTGATAATTTTTGCACAAAATTTTTGTCATTAGCAAATGTCTCCTGAACCTACAGAAATAAATGAAATATTACCTATGTTAAATGTCTATTATTTAAAGTGAAAATAATGTTTATAGACAAGATGGCTTAATAAATTTGTTTTTAATCTGAGAAAAGACTTAGAACAAAAACTTACAGACAAGTGTTCTGCTCAGCATATTTTTTTTTTGTTACAATAATGTCTGGGATCTTTAATCATCTGATCCATAGTTATATTATCAAAACTGGTCTAGACTAATAAATATGATTTTAAAGCTTTCAAGGGAGATAACTCACCAGTTTGAAATTTCTTGAGCATGATACAGCCTTAAAATACATAAATATATGTTATTTATTTTTAGACTTGTTTTACTGTATCATGTCTGTGCAATAACATCACAGTGTTGATGTCAAACCATTTCACTGTCTAGTATGTAGTAGTATTGTAGAATCACTGAGGTACATTTCTTCACATTGATTTCATTTGCACACATCATCCCTTTCCTTATCATCAAATCACAGGCAAGAATCAGTCTTCACATGCATAACATTATTGCCAGCTTCAATATCTTTGTTGTAGCCAATCAGACCAGCTTCCCATTTTTATTTATATCTTTGAGCCATGCTTTGTTTTGCTTACTTTTATTTAATGTCATTATTTAATACTTATTTTGGAGACAACCAAAAGGAACTTGAATTGTATTTGCTAAGCTGGTTGTCTCCCTTGGTTGGCAATGGTTCCAATCTAAAAAACATATGTAGAATTTTTTCAATTTTTATTAGGTCATCTGGACCCGAAGGGTCCGATGACCTATAGTCATCATGCTTCGTCCGTCGTCGTCCGCCGTGCGCCGTCCGCCGTGCGCCGTCCGTAAACTTTTCATTCAAACGACTTCTTCTCAAATACTAGAAGGTCTAGGGGGCTAATACTTGGCACAGAGGATACTGGCATGGAGCTCTACCAAGTTTGTTCAAATGAATGACCTTGACCCACTTTAAAGGTCACAGGGGTCAAATATGTTAAAATCTTTAAACAACTTCTTCTCATTAACCAAAAGGCTCAGAGTGTAGATATTGGGCCTGTGACATGCTGGGATGAAGGACTACCAAGTTTGTTCAAATGAATGACCTTGAACCACTTTAAAGGTCACAGGGGTCAAATATGTTAAAATCTTTAAACAACTTCTTCTCAATAACCAAAAGGCTCAGATTGCTGATATTGTGCCTGTGGCATGCTGGGATGAAGGGCTATCAAGTTTGTTTAAATGAATGACCTTGAACAACTTTCAAGGTCACAGGGGTCAAATATGTCAAAATCTTTAAATAACTTCTTCTCAAATACTAGAAGGCCTAGGGGGCTAATACTTGGCCCATAGCATGCTGGCATGGAGCCCTACAAAGTTTGTTCAAATGAATGACCTTGGCCCACTTTCAAGGTCACAGGGGTCAAATATGTTAAAATATACAAAGGACTTCATCTCAATAAGCAAAAGTCTATGAGTGCCGATATTGGGTCTGTAGCATGCTGGGAGGAAAGGTTACCAAGTTTATTTAAATGAATGACCTTGAACAACTTTCAAAGTCGCAGGGGTCAAATATGTCAAAATCTTTAAATAACTTCTTCTCAAATACTAGAAGGCCTAGGGGGCTAATACTTGGCCCATAGCATGCTGGCATGGAGCCCTACAAAGTTTGTTCAAATGAATGACCTTGGCCCACTTTCAAGGTCACAGGGGTCAAATATGTTAAAATATACAAAGGACTTCATCTCAATAAGCAAAAGTCTATGAGTGCCGATATTGGGTCTGTAGCATGCTGGGAGGAAAGGTTACCAAGTTTATTTAAATGAATGACCTTGAACAACTTTCAAAGTCGCAGGGGTCAAATATGTCAAAATCTTTAAATAACTTCTTCTCAAATACTAGAAGGCCTAGGGGGCTAATACTTGGCCCATAGCATGCTGGCATGGAGCCCTACAAAGTTTGTTCAAATGAATGACCTTGGCCCACTTTCAAGGTCACAGGGGTCAAATATGTTAAAATATACAAAGGACTTCATCTCAATAAGCAAAAGTCTATGAGTGCCGATATTGGGTCTGTAGCATGCTGGGAGGAAATACCAAGTTTATTCAAATGAATGACCTCAACCCACTTTCAAGGTCACAGGGGTCAAATATGTTAAAATATACAAACGACTTCTTCTCAACAAGCAAAAGTCCATGAGTGCTGATATTGGGCCTGTAAGATGCTTGGAGGAGAGGCTACCAAGTTTGTTCAAATGAATGACCTCAACCCACTTTCTAGGTTTGGCTTGCTTTTTGTCAGATGACCGTTAAGGCCCATGGGCCTCTTGTTTCAAACTTGGTAGTGTTCAGTAAGGTGCTATTTTATTGTAAAAGAAAGATGTTGAATGAAATTCAGTAAAATAATATTTCATGAATTGGGTCAAATTTAAGGAGACTAATTAATTGAATTCAGGTCTGGAAATTATAGAAGGGACAAGAAGTAAGTCGGCTGATTGATGAATTGTAATCAGGTGTAAAGAGTAGATGGCATTTTAAGTACAGATTTGTTTGAATATTCCTCTTTCCAGTCGACCATCTAAATCTGGTAGGGAAGTCAGAAGAAGACCTACAACATCTCTCAGAAGATGTGCCCTGCAATAATTCTAGGTAGGTACTTCATCCGAGATGGAGGGCATCGTTTCTTGTGTTATGGTTAATGTGTGATTATATTAACAGAAAAAAAACCAGATATTGACCAAGATGAAATTGAGGTCAATACACATATCTTTTCACATAGTGCTAATATCATGTATTTGAAACCATACCCTGACCTTTGTCCCTCAGAGTTAATTCACTGCATATTGAATACATTAGGGCCGCTGAAAACTTATTAGCATTTGTAGTCAAAATTTTTAAAAGTAAGGTAATGGTATTGCTTAGTAAAATTATATGATGAAAATAAAACAGAACTGAAAAATAATTTATGCTCATATAGTTGAGTGGGTAATAACTTCAAAGTGGTTGTTGAGGAAATTTAAATTTAAATTTTTCATTCAGGTATGTAGACAATTGGAGGACAAACAGACACCCATCATGTAACAACAATGCTCCTACTGTACCCCAGGGACTGGAAATGATGTCTCCAGAGTCTCCCCCAGCCCCATCTCACGAGGACGATGGATGGTCAAGTGGAGAGTTCACTAACTCAGATGAGGACGAGTCAAGAAATCATGATAGACGAGGGTCAGAGGTAAGAACTGACAGGGAAAAGTAGTGTCATAAATTGTATCTTATTGAATCTATTCGCAAATAAGCCCGCCCTTGTTTATTTAATTTTTGTCATTATTGCCAACAAATGTTATTTGGTTGTCCTGTATAAATTCTAAAATGCTTATTTGAAGAAGAGGAAAGATGATAAATAGATCAGAAACAGATCTAATAGCCCATCTGTCTATAAGTGTCTTATCCTTAGTCTCTAACAAAAAGCAAAAACAAGCAAAAAGTCTGTTCCTAGTAATAAGCCAACCCATATATAATACTGTTTAGTACAGTGATAAACCATCACCAGTTTGTTTTCTTGTGATAAACCCATCCTCTCAGTTTGAATATGTGTTGACCAGCTAGTCTTTTTACAGAACATGGTTACTGTATCTTAAATTTAACAATTTCTCCTCCAGCCTTCCTACCTACAACAGTACCAGTCTATAGGAGATTTCCATGCCAGTGATGCCAATGAAGTCAGCATGCGAGAGCGTGATGTTGTGGAGATTATTAGAACAGGATCCACGGGTTGGTGGTTCGCCCGCCATCTGTCGACAAATCAGGAGGGTTGGGTACCATCCACATATCTCACACCCTATAAAAGGCGAAGTTCACAGTCCCATTTTTCGATGTCAAGTATTGGTAGGTACATATCACAGTCATCACGGAGGTTAATTCCTGTTGTATAGCCTCCTCAACTCTCTGCCAATCTCTCTCTCACCTGCTCTTGTAATGTATGGCCTTGGCGTGACGTGGTGTGGACAGTTGCCTTCTCAGCCTGTTAACCCCCACTCTCTGCAATAGACTGTCTCCAGGATAACACACTCTGTGATACCAGGATCATACCACTGGTAAAACAGGGACCACTGTTATAATCACTTTCAGCTATGTATATATATGTATGTAGTAGCTCTACCTCCTTTCTTTGCAACCTGAGTTCTGCCAGAAGCTTTAAAAGGCAATTAAAATGTATAGCTAAAAAAGATAGTATTTATAAAGTGATTTGTTAGTCAGTCAGGTTTTTATTAGCATTTAAATTGTTTTTGTTAATAATTTAAACTTAGATTTTTCCAAAAATTTGTCACTTATTATTATTATTGGAAGCACTTATGGAATCAAGTTAATCAGATTGTAGATTTTGTAGATTTCAAAAAGAGAAGAAAAAAATTAAAATACCAGATTACTTCAATATGATTTATGTCTTCATTCATGCAATCATCAACAAAATATTTGGAATTAATTTTTTGCTCATGAAGAAGATTTTAAAACTTTATTAAACTTTGGCTATACCTCAGTATACTGTCAATAGTTATAGACTATAATTCTGGCATTGTAAACATTGTTATGGCAATATCAAAGGAGATGTATATACAGAAAATATCTCATGAAAATGGAAAATGGATCTTCAAGTATGATGGCGAGATGACATATGAAAGGAGTGGAATTATATCGGGGCTCTAACAGGTATTATCTGGTTGATGTTGCCTGCCATTACCTGTCACCTACAGCTTAATGTGTCAATCTTGTCAGGAAGTCGTCCTGCTTGGCTTAATAACAAAAATGATGTTTTATTTTATATTGGATGTCTGGCTCTACATTATCTCCCTTGAATTATAAATGATTGTACAGAGTTTGTCTACATGTACACAATTTCTATATTCCTCTTGTACTCAGCTGATCTATTAATAATATACTGCTTGTGTTTACCTTTGTTTGTCAGAACAAAATGTATGTAGCTGGCAACATTACGCTTAAGCTTAACCAAAACACAAAAATCTACTCAATTTCTATGTTAAAAGTCTTTCTCAAAGAGCATAACTAACATATCAAGAAATGAAAGTTTTAATTAATATAATTTAATTCTCTCTAGAATGTATATTTCATTGTTATTATTATGGATCTTGATTTTTTCTCTGTGTTTGTCCTGATGTTCAAACTTGAGCAAGAAAGCAATTCAACAAAGAACTACATTACTATATAGTCTTGAAATAGGAATAAAAGTTCAACTCATGAATAATCCTTGACTCCTGTAAGAGTTATCTCCCTTACAGTAAAATACTTAAATGAGTTAATTCCTGTTTACTTTTGACTGTAGCTTTGATGGATGATTATTTATAACATACATGTATATTTACATTAAGTTCGGTTAAAATTACAATGTTACAGGATATTGAGAAATTATTTATTAGGTGAAAAAGCAGTATTTCTAAATAATCTCTGGAATATGTCTTACTGACACTAAATATAATGAACCCATATCCCTAACTCATATTGATATAATATTCTTTCTTTTACAGATTCTAGTAGTCAGGAACATATGACAAGCAAATCAAGTCTGGCCAGTGCTTACAGCTCCAACAGCCCTATGAATGAAACTTCAATTTGAGAAAGAGTTACCTCCCATTTGACAGGAGTTGTCCCTTTGATAGGAAACAATTTCAAATTGGAGGAAAGGAACTAACTGTCTTTGTAGTGTTCTACTAGTCATTAATGTTGGTTTGTGTCTAGAACTGTCAGCAATTAACATGAAAGAAGTCAGGCCAAGGTCATGGTCACCAAGGTCATGGTTGTCAAGAAACGTTGACAGAAATATCTTGATGTCTTTCATTATATACATATTCTCATTTAACCAAACGCTAAAGAAGATATTTTGTGAAATCTGGTTTGACCTCAATGACCTTAAAACAATTACTATAAGGATAGTTCTACTGAAAGTGCTAGATTTGTTCATGACAGTTTAAGGACTATAAGCTGTCATCTCACAAAGCCAAAGATACTAATGTATCTACAGAACTGTGGTTTATAAAGGATCTTGGTATTAATACTGTGTTGTAAAGTCGTCACCATTCTCAATAAGAGAGTATTAACTGATGAATCTCGTGTGGTGGTTTAGTTCTCACAGGCAAGTGAATACTACTTCTCACAGGCAAGGGAATACTACTTCTCACAGGCAAGTGAATACTACTTCTCACAGGCAAGTGAATGCTGGTTCTCACAGGCAAATGAATACTACTTCTCACAGGCATGTGAATGCTGAACACCTCTAGTAAAATGGAGTTCATATATATATATATGAATAGCAACATTTTTTAAGGAGGACCTAGAGCTGCTTATACAGAGGACCAAAGCAATTTGTTAATAAGGAGAGCCCATAGCAACTGTTACAGAGGCCCATAGCAACTTGTAAGAGGACCCATAGAAACATGCAGGACTTGTAGTTATATGCAATAGACATTTTATAAAGAGTGTCTGTATATAGAATACACAATTCTGAGTTTGGAGGAAACTGAATTCATCTACAGCTTTGATTACAAACAAAACAAGTGTCTGCAGGACTGTCTGAAGTCTTCTGGTGATTATAGGTCATTTCTAGATTAGGCATTGCAAATGTTTGTCATGGTTGAGTTGGCACCAAGAGTGTTAGACAGGAACATGGTCCAGACTGTCCAAAGCGTTGCTAGGGAATGATTAACACAGTAAATAATGGCCTGTCACGCTTCTCCGATTTTCAGAGATCACAGGTTACAGGAAATGAACTATTCCTCTGTCCCTGGACTACTTGAACTGCTGTTTCGTTCAGGACTAAGAGCAATCTAACTTGGTTGGTGGTGATGTGAATGATGTGTGTGCAGATGTACTAAATCATTGAAATATTTGCAGGAGGAGACCCTAAGATATTTTACAGAACTCAAAATATCCTGTGAGAGAGCTGAGAGTTCAGGATATCTATTTTTACAAATGGAATATTACAATCAGATATCTCAGGACATTTCACAGAAATTAAGGAGAATTTTCAAAATACCTGGAAATATTTCTACAGGAGACCTTGAAATATCTCTTCAGGAGACCAGAAAATAGCCCTTCTGGAGACCTGGAAGTAGCGCTTCAGGAGACCTGAAAATAGCCCTTCAGGAGACATGGAAAGTGTCAGTACAGAACTGTTCGGGAATGTCAGTAGTTAGAGAATGTTAGTACAGAACAGTGAGGGAATGTTATTAATTAACTCAACAACAGAGCACAGTCAAGAACTATTATAATATAAGTATGGTTGTGTATTATGGAGTTAAGTCTGTCAACAGTCCATTGTTATGCAGTCTTGTGTTATTGAGTCTATGCAGTGTAAAGTTATCAAGTTCAGAGAAATGTTATCAGATCCAGTGTAATTGGGTCTAGAGTAAAGATGTTGGGGGCAATTTAAACGTTATTTGGATCCAATGTAAAGGTATCTAGTCCAGCATAAAGTTATTGAGTCCAGTTTAAAATTAATAGGACGAGTTTTGCATGGAGTCGAGTGTAATCTAGCAGATGTTAAGTATGGTTAACTGTAGGACTGTGACAGGTACATCACCTGTTTTGTTCTCTCTGTCCTTGTGATAAATTTTCATTGTGATATTGGTGTAGACTTGCCATCCTGTATATCATATAATGATATTATAGCCATTTATATTTTAGCAAATCATCTTGTTTTCAAAATGTACCCATTTTTTAGAATTGAAAGTAAATACTGGAGATTGACCACTTTGTAACACACCTGTAATAAATCAATTATATTTACCTGTAGGATGACTGTTCCATTAAACATGTTCATAAATCTGTTCTCAGTGAATGTAGCATTTACTTCACAAAACCAGTTTTAACAAAAAATTAACATTTGAAGATCTTGTTTCATTTTTCATAGTAATTATCTACATGTAAAGCAGATTGATTTTACACATAATTGTTGAAAATCATGAAAATTGATTTTTTGTACAGTTTTTATCTGAGGAGGGATATATATCTGGACTTGTCAGATCATCTTCGATTTAATTTAGATTCAATGATTAACTTTCCTCTGGTCAGTCATTTCATATCTAAACAATATTTGCGCACATTTACGAAAGATATTTAAAATGGTTTTAATTTGATTTCAATTCACTATTTGAAGAAGATACACAAAGTTGCTAATCAATTTACATCAGAAATCTTTATTTAGATTTTTTTAAAATCAACATCAGCATTATATGAATATCTGGGATCTAAAACTGAAAATATTTAATTCTAAAATATGAAAAGATTTTCAATATAGTTGAAAAGCTGCTGTATTTCTGGCATGTTTCAGTGTGTTAAGTTATAATTATAATTATTTGCCAATAAATAAAAAAAAAAAAAAAAAATAATGCAAAGACATTCTTCTTTTATTCAATGTGGCCTTACAAAAATGCAAATTAATTATGCATACTAATGATTAAGTGTTAATTGTATTTATGCAATTCATGTTTTCATAAGGAAAGATAACTCTTGGTATTAAGGAGGAGATAACTTTTAATGTAAAATGTTTTGAGTACATGTATACAGTTAAGATCTAGAAAGAGTTTTTGTATCTCAAATTGAATTATTTACTTTTTCTGAATTTTTTTTTATCAAAAGTGAGTTTTTAGGATGAATAAGAAAATGATTAATAAATTTAAATCATGTTAATCAAATTTAATTACTGCATCGTGCAACATAAAACTTGCTTTGCATTAATGATAAAAATATAGGTGAAAAAAAATTTCATTTCTCAATAATCAGTTATGTAGAATTTACAGATTTTATTGTAAATCATACCTTATACACACTTTTTAAATTACATAAAGCCTATTACATTTATGTCAATCGAAAGTGTTTTTTTCTAATTCAGATAGCATTTTATGAACATTCTACCTGTTTTTGAAATCAAAAAGAAATATTTGTTCTCCTTTTGGATAAGAGTTATGTCCCTTACTTTTCTGATGGTGGAATATGCTGATGATGTTCCTAAAAATTTAATATCTAGGTACCTTTCACTTTTTCTTACAGCAACATTCGCCAGAGCCCAGTCATACATTCCCCTTAGGCCTGTGATTATGGATAGGTTTTATACTGGCTTTCTTATATATTTTAATAATTTTATATTTTCATGTTCATTTTCAACAGTGTGCTGCTTTGATGTAAGGGGTTATATCATACATATATTGAGTAAGTCGCAGTCCGGTAGATTAGCAGATTCACAGTTCAAGCTTAAACTGTCATATTGTTATTACTCTACAATGTATTTTACAATACATTTGTAAAACAATTGACTTTTTAATTGTGTCAAGCAAAATATGTATGATTTATCCCATACAGTGCTGATAAAGACGATAGTCAAAAAGGAAAAACAAAAAAAGAATTTGGACATTTGTGATTTTTTTTTTTTTCAAAATATTTCATATAATTCTTTTTTAAGGGCTGCGCTACTTGTTCTTTGTTGGCGGTTGTCACTTTTTAGAATTTATCTATTGTCTTACGTGTTTTTATTGTTCTATTTTATAGTTTCACAGAAGCAGTGTTGGGTTGGGGGGATGGGAATAATAGGATACTTAAGACAAGAAATTGGGTTGTAATTTAACTCAGTTTCGTGTGTACCATTCCATAATATGATTGTCTTGCTATGGAATACTGTATACTGGGAATTTTTTTGACTCCACATAAATTTTGTCATTTTCCATGAACATGAATGGTGAAAATTTTGTTACACTTATGTAACAGTAGAGGGTGAAATGAACATGAGACGAATTCATGTATAATGGTAGGACGGAAATGTCCCGATATGCAGTAATTGTCGATGAAGTTCACAGAACTGCACATTACTTAATTGCTTCTTTTGACTTTATATTTGGTTGATTCAACAGTGTTTAACTCTGTGTAACACAGTGTTTAACTCGAGAGATCTATCAATGATTCTATTATACCACAATGCTATTGTGTTTTTTCTTCTCTGATTGATTTGTACTTATTGTGCCACTGCATCAATTAAATTTGAATCTATTTAAAATTACCACATTAAAATAAAGCAATTATTTGATTGTATGTAGTAATATTCACATGAACTTACATTACCATTGAAGCTGCACTTGCCTTATGTCTTGTCAATAACAGTAATCAACACTGTTAAACAGTATTGACGAAGAATAATGGAAAGCGATGCTTTATTCTTGATTGTTTAAGATCTCATCTCTATTAAATTATTTGGTTTATGCTCTTGAATATCGAGCAAGGTTCTTATTCATAAGGTCATACCATGATGCTGGTTGTTTTTTTTATACAGACACGTATGTAGAACTCATAAGTCAAGCTGTTTGTATACTTTACGTGACATGTCAGAGTTTATACACCAGAAAATCGGTCGTGCTATTTACTGCTGGCATCATAACATTTTACTTTTCCTTATCATAGCAAATATGACATTCAGAAATCTCGCTAAATAATGTAATTTATAAATTAATTTGAAATTGAATTGTTATTTATCAAACATTTGACACTGACACTATTTCAGTTGAATCTATTTCGGTGTTCAAGGTGTTCCTGTGTTACTAAATATAGATTTCACGTGATCATTTGTGATTT